GCAGGGAGGGGGCGGGCGCTCGCCGGGCAGTTCCCGCGCGGCCCCCGAGGTCGCGAGAGTTAGACGACGCGCGCGCGCGCACTTCCGCCGCAGCCGCAGGGAGGGGGCGGGGAAGTTAGACGGGCGAGCTGCAGGTGTCGTTAACTCTCGGTCGCCAGCTCCTGCCCCTGTCGCTGCCCCCGCGACCTCGGCCCCACGGTGGGCGAGGCCTGGCACACATGCAGTAGGTGCCACTTTGTCCTGTCATTCTCTTTATAAATTACTAGAGTCAACTTGCCAGGGTTTTGCTGGGGGTTTTGCATCTCTGCTCGTGGGAAGGACTGGCCCGTAGTTTTCCTTTCTGTAATGTCTTCGGGTAATGTCGGCCCTAGGACGCGCGGCTTCCTGCAGAAGGCTGACCCTGAAGGAGTCGGCCAGCACCGGAATAAGGGGCCCAGGCGAAGCAGTCCGCCTCGGTCACAGGTGCGGTGCAGCCACAGAAAAGAGCATCCGAGCACGGAGCGCGCAAGACACAGGGCAGGCCCAGGAACAGCACTCCCCCTGGTCTACACGGGGGAAACTCAGGGATGTAGGGATGCGGAACAGACACCAAAGGTAAAAATGGATCTCCAGAAAACTCATTGATAACATTTGGCCACTTTATAAGCCAGGTAATTCCAACATTTAAAAAAGAGAAATGTTTCTTGTGGTATTTTGATAATCCTTCTAAGTACTTCTAAAATCAAAAGAGGAAAAAAAACAGACTTTGAGATCCAGGACTCAAGAAAGACATGGTGAAACTGTAATTCTGAAGATCACTGTTACTTTGTGTATAAAAAATAAACCTATATATACACTTGATTAGCTCATAATCATGTTGGGTGTATTTAGGTAAGTTGTAAAGGAGGCAAGAAAGGAGAAAAAAGTTGAACAATAATTTAAGAAAAGAGAATCCAAAAAACTTTATTATTATTTATCCCCCAGGCTTTAAATCTGGGTGGACAAGGGTGTTTTGGAAAATTAAAGATGGCTATAAATTTTTCAGCATTTTTCCCTTAGGAGGTGGAGGTCTAGGTCATTTCCCTTTGAGTCTAAGTGGGTTTGATAACTGCTCTGATAAAATACAGCAAAAGTGACGCTATTTGAGTTTCCCAGCCTGAGCCTTTAGCAGCAGCTTTCACTTTTTGTTTTTTTGAACAATTGCTCTTGGAGTCCTGAGCCATCACAGGAACAGGCTGACTGCCCTGCTGGAAAGATCACATAAGGAGGCCCTGAGCCCACCCTTCTAGCTGTCCTTGCCCCAAGGCACTGGGCATGGCAGTGCAGCTGTCTTGGATTTTCCAGGCAAACCCAGCTGCCAGATGAATACCACCAAGTGTCACTAGAAGATGCCACATGAAATGGAAAAACCTTCCAGCTGAGCCTTCCCCAAATTCCTGGCCCAAAACATCATGGGATGGATGTTTATTCTAAGCCATTGTTTTCGGATAACTTTTTATGCATCAATATATGTTACTATAACAGCTTGGTTACACTATTCCCTGAGGATATTAAATTTCCTTAGATTAGATGGTAGAGTCTACAAGGAATTTTAAATTTGTAATTGATTTCTTGACTTCCAACCAGAAAAAGGTATTGAGGACATGCTACATCTTTTTTTTAAATTGAGTTTATTAGGGAACTAAGAGAGGCAGCGACAACCCAGTGACAGGAAGAAAATTCTGAAAATGTCCCTTCAAGCCAAGTGGGGGCCTGGCCTTGACCTCCCCAAAAGGACAAGAAACTGGCGGGTTAGCAACGAAATTCTGTGGTGGCCACCTTGCCAGGCCATGAGTGTCTCAGCCAGACTGCCCCTCAGCCCCCCACCAAAGATGGAGAGGAGACAAAGGCTTTTTATAGAACCAATTCCAAGGCAATGAGAGCTTTAAGGAAAGTTGGAGGTGGGGGGAACCTCAACAAAGAGTCCCAGGGGGGCGCCTGGGTGGCTCAGTTGGTTGCGCTACTGCCTTCGGCTCAGGTCATGATCCTGGAGTCC